TCCATCCCATCACCTGACATGGGACTAGCAGCCATTGCCTCCATCCCAGCATCTCCTCATGGAGCTTTGTGGTGCCACCTGAACAGCACAGTTTCTTTTACCACTACCATCTGTTTCTCCAGCCAGATCTCAGCCTTATTTTGTGTCCCAAGCTCCTCCTGGCCTTCCTCTCTCTGCAGCACTGCATGAGAAAAACCCAAAGTGCTCCCAGACAAACCAGACAGTGCCCATGCATGTGTGGTAATTTGGAAAATCTAGTCCTTTAGCTTTTCTTTCTCATTTGTTTTTTAATGTGAATTTTATTTCATGCAAAGAGCTCTGCTCTTTGGACTGTTCTTCCCTTTGGGACCTGAGTAAGAGAGGGATCCTGAAAAAGCCCTCAGGAGCCACTTGTCCACCCCGCCAACATGGGGACAAAGCCTTTGCTTGGCCCCCAGCTTCACAGAGGTGGGAGAGTTTTTACTTGGGTGGCCACAGCAGCATTGCTGGGGGCAGCACAGAGGAGATTGGGGTCTGAAACATCTCAAAATCTCCTGAAAAAGAGGTGCTGATGGTGAAAAACATGATGGTGAGAAGAAAACCTCTGTTGTCATCACTCACTGGAACCAGACTTTGATCTCCTGCTGCAGTCCCTGATGGGAAGGGCAGGCGTGGGCTGGGAGGAGATGGGCAAAGGAAGAGGGGATCTCTTGGGATTTGGAGTTGTGTCTCCCATGGGTCCTCTTTTCCTGAGCCACAACTCTCTCACTGCAAAATGGTTTCCCCAGGCTTCACACCCCATGCCTGCCCTGGTTTTTTGAAGAGAGAAGCACTTTTGCTTGGTTTACAGTAGCATTTTCCCCTTTTTGTGTCTCATTTTTTCGTGCTGCTGCCTGATCAGGTGAGGAAAGCTCTCACCCATGGGGGAATGGGTTCTCAGGCAGCTTTTGACCTGGGGACTGGCTCTTGCTGATGCTGCTGAAAGCTGAACTTGTCTGAGAGTGCACCCAGACATCTGCCCACTGTTCCTGGCCTCTCCCAAGGGAGTGCTGCCCCATGACACTGCAGGCTATCACGTTTTCTTGGTTGCTGGTTGTTTCCATTATTCATACAGCAACTCTTTAAATATTCAGAGATCTCTTGACTGGTTTTTCAGTGGCTTGTGGAGGAGGAGGTGGTGGCATGGCTCGCTGGGGCCACCTCCACACCTGGTTTAGTAGGATGCT